CATACGAAAATTGAGATCGAAATATTACCCGCAATTGGAGAATGAAAGTTGGCTTTCTGACGTAATGTTCTTTACCGATATGATGGAACATTTGCAAAACCTGAATTTGTCTCTACAAGGGGAGAAGAGAAATATTTTTGATTTGTCGCAAATTATTTTAAGTTTTGAAGCTAAACTGCGCCTTTTTTTATGATCTGAAAAAAAGAATATTTCATCATTTTCCATGGCTAGAAAAAATATTTCACATGATTTAAAAGCAGATTTTGAAAAAAGATTTGCCGATTTGAAATTATTTAAATGTACGTTTGCATACTTCATAAACCCTTTTTATGTAACATAATTGAGGATGAATTTACAATATCCGAAATACTCCTTTTTAAGAAAAGCGAAGAAGAATTGGAGTTTTTGGAATTAAAAGAAGACGAGTCACAGGAAATGCAACATAAAGCTTTACTATTGCTTGAATTCCGACAATAAGATTTAAAATATCCGCTGTTGAAAACAGCTGCGTCCCCTATATTTTCAATTTTTGGTACAACGTATAACTGGGAGTCTGAACTCTACAATGAAATCGTAGATTCAAAGTACCGTTCCCAATTAGTTGCATTCGCGTACCTGATAATAGTTGCGTTCCAGATGCTTCACGATTTGCAGGTTTTTACAGGAAGCCGTTCCAGGTAACCGCCTTCCATAAGATTATTAATGAGAAAACAGCTTTTTCTGGAAATCCTGTAAATCCTGCAAATCGTTAAGCATCTGGAACGCAATTAATTATTGAAAGTTATAAAAAACTATCAGCTTTTGTGTTCGCGTACGCAAAAAACTTGCAAAGTAGGGGAAATTGAGAGAGCAAAATGAAATTTCATTTTGAGGGAAAGCTGCTAGTTTCTGCTGGACAAATTTTTGCCAACTGCAATTTGCCAACAAGAAAACAGCTGATCAAAAACAGCTGGCTGGAATTTACTCAAATCCCTAAACTGAATTTCGTTTAGTCAGTGAACTGTGTCAGGATAAGACTTCGGGATTTGTTTACTTACGTTTTCAATTTTGTACTTTTGAAAGTAAACAAAATTTCTATCAGCTGTTCGTCTAACTTGCAACTTTCTGCAAATTTTCTGTTCGCGTACCATTTTGAATACAG